CTTTGCGAATACTCCAGTGTATAGAGTAAAAAGAAAGGAAAGATATGAAAAGCGACAAATAATAATCGTCAGGGGAATTTATTCGTCCAAGACAAGAATTCTGTCCCAACCACTTATAAAATAGAACCTCTCACCTAATGTTATAATCTTGAACAACTCTTGATGTAGCTGTGCCGGTGATACCGTCATGGTGCTGAAAAAGCCCCAAATTTCTTCTTGCCAAAGTCAGCAAGCTATAGAGTTTGTCAAATAGTTCAACAAATTTAATGCTAATGGAGTCATTTTGAGTTAAAAATGACTGTGAATCCAGGCTCCATAAAGAAAACCTGTGTCTTGCGAATGAATAGAGGATTTCGGCAGTCCTTGAAGAGAAAATAAATAAATAATAATAGTTAGCAATAGATATATTAGCCAATGAAATTAAAGTATGAAATAATTATAACGATTTAGGATGAAAGTGAACGGAGAGAAAATTACGCCTACAGTTAAAAAGGCAATCGAAAGCTCATTCAAGTAAGTATAGTTTTATTAATAATGATATAAAATACAATTTAAATCAATGCAACAATTATAAAGAGAAGTAACCTATGGAATAAAATGAAACCTGAGTGAGTCATGGTAATGATAAAAAGACTCGCATCCTCTCAAAGAAACAGTCTAGCACAGTGATTCCCAAACTGTGCGCTGCGGCGCCCCGGGGAGCCGCGAAATATTGTAAAAGCTTCAATTTGAGAAAATGTATAGTGACATGCAGGCTCATCCATCACATTAATTATTAAATATTAATTTAATGTTAATAAATTTTAAAAAATAATAAAGATACACGAGTTTAATTTTTTTTATCTCTTATGAATAGTCATACTTAGAGTAGGGCGCCAAGAAAAAATTGAGACTGAAAAAGGGCGCCGCGACTAGGAAAAGTTTGGGAACCACTGGTATAGCAAGTTAAATGTGTTTATGCGCCTCTTACTTTTTCACATTATGTGGTTTGCCTCTATATGAAAAACATCCATTTAGTACATTTGAATGGACTTAAGCGACATTATAGTTAGCAACATCAGTTCCCACTTCCTAAGCAGCACATACTACACCTTTAATGATAAAGTTTATAAATAGGTAAGGCCTAGCAATGAGACCTTAAGTGTCAAGAATGGAGGAACACTTCATGGAAGAGGTAGGATTGACACCCAAACTGTTACATGGGCAGCATGGCAAGGATAGTTTAAATAATTTATTGTTTTTAATTAACCAGGTTGACTGCAATATTAAGTGGACAATGGAGATGGAGATGAAAAATAATATACCCTTTTTAGATGTATTAGTGATCAGAGCAGGTGAAAAGTTAAGCAGGGATGTCTATAAAAAGCCAACACATACTGGCTTTATACTTAACTTCTTCTCCAATCATAGTTATAAAACAAAGGTTGGAGTTTTAAAATCTATGATTATTCGGAGCATATGACTAGCCGATGTAGACCATTGTGACAATTAACTGAATCGGCTTAAAATAATATTTCTTGAGAATGCCTATCTCCTAGGCTTGATTAAAAATAAGATTAGATTAATAAAGAATAGCTTTTTGAATGGTCAATACGAAAGGAGGGATAAGGAGACCTTTTCTCATGTTTTATCTTTACCATAGTGCATTCTCTCTAAATGGATAAGTGAACAAGGAAGTGGAGAATAAAAACGGTCTTCAGGGAAACTACAACACTTTCTTCAGTTACGCCCACTTTTAGAGAGAAAGTTGACCCATTATCCAGATCGGGTTGCTAGAAAATAATGTGTTCATGTGGTCGCTTTTATGTTGAAGAGACTTGTCGTCTTATTCGACAAAGGGTGCCTGAGCACAAAAGCGCCTGCAAAGACTGTTGGGTTCGAAAATTGGAGCTTGCTTAGCACAGGGCAGAAACGGGACACTAGATTGAATGGTCTCATAATTTTCGTTTTGCTGATTATGGAATGTGTGCGGCTAAACGTAAAATTATAGAAGCCATCGAAATAAACCGAATAGGAAATACATTAAATTAAGGAATACTGGTAGAAAGATAAGTAAAAATTACTTTTGCTTAATCAATAGACTCAAGGATAGAGAGGCGCCTGCTAAAAGGAGGCGACTAAACTAATCTTTTCTTGTCTTGGTTCTAATCATAGTCACTTCTCTGTATGTTTAGCTCGCTCTTTCTCTCTCGCATTAGGACCAGAAACAAAAAAAGGGCTTATTAACAAAACCAAACGAGTGCCCGACTTTACGCAATCGGAGTGATAGTTATAAATTGTATGTAGAAAGTGAGAGATATGGGTCATCAAACCTTGAGGGCCGAAAAGAGACGTTCCTTTTTGACGTCCAAATTACTTTGAGCCATCACTTCGGGTTTCGTGCATAAGCGAACACAAACAGGCACATACACATTCACAGACATCGAAGTTCACATGACCTTAACTAACCAAATCACCTTATACTCGATCAAATAGGCCAGATGTAGAGTATATATACCAC